TGTCCCCAGCCCATGTATGACACACATGTCCCCTCGATCCCCAGACATGTATGACCAGGTGCTCAAGTTCGGCGCGTACATCGTGGACGGGCTGCGCGAGTACCGGCAGCCGGTGCTGATCTACATCCCGCCCCAGGGCGAGCTGCGGGGCGGCTCCTGGGTGGTCATCGACCCCACCATCAACCCCCGGCACATGGAGATGTACGCTGACCGCGACAGCAGGTACGGCCGGGGGATGGGCACTGCGGGGTCTGTGGGGTCACTGTGGGGTCACTATGGGGTCACTGTGGGGTCACTCACTGCTGGGGGATGGGCACTGTGGGGTCACTATGGGGTCACTGCGGGGTCACTCACTGCTGGGGGATGGGCACTGTGGGGTCACTATGGGGTCACTGAAGGGTCACTGCTGGGGTCGCTGTGGGGTCACTGTAGGGTCACTGATGGGGTCGCTGCTGGGGCCTGGGCACTGGGCACTGTGGGGTCACTATGGGGTCACTGATGGGGTCACTGCTGGGGTCACTATGGGGTCACTGCTGGGGTCACTACGGGGTCACTATGGGGTCACTGCTGGGGGCTGGGCACTGTGGGGTCACTATGGCGTCACTACAGGTTCACTGCAGGATCACTGCTGGGGTCACTGCTGGGGTCTGGGGTACTACGGAGTCACTGCTGGGGTCACTATGGGTTCACTGCAGGGTCACTGCTGGGGTCACTATGGGGTCACTCACTGCTGGGGTCACTATGGGGTCACTCACTGCTGGGGGCTGGGGCACTATGGGGTCACTGCGGGGTCACTGCTGGGGTCACTATGGGGTCACTGCTGGGGTCACTATGGGGTCACTGCTGGGGTCACTACGGGGTCACTTTGGGGTCACTGCGGGGTCACTGCAGGGTCGCTGCTGGGGGATGGGCACTGCTGGGGTCACTATGGGGTCACTGCTGGGGGATGGACACTATGGGGTCACTACAGGGTCACTGCAGGGTCACTGCTGGGGTCACTGCAAGGTCACTGCTGGGGTCACTGCTGGGGGCTGGGGCACTATGGGGTCACTGTAGGGTCACTATGGGGTCAGTGCTGGGGGATGGGCACTGCTGGGGTCACTGCTGGGGTCACTATGGGGTCACTACGGGGTCATTGCTGGGGTCACTCCTGGGGTCACTATGGGATCACTGCTGGGGTCTGGGGTTACTCCTGGGGTCATTCCTGGGGTCCGGGGTCACTCCTCCTGTGATCACTCCTGGGCTCACTCCTGGGGTCACTCCTCCTGGGGTCACTCCTGGGGTCTCTCACTCCTCCAGAGGTTCCCTGTGCCTGGCACCGTTTGTTCCCATGGGGTCAGACGCTCCCCAGATGGAACCTCCTGGGTGTTTTTGGCCAGGAAAAACCAGAGCTCAGAGTTCTCCCGTTGTTTTGTCTCCCTCCCTTTCTCCTCACACGCTTCCCAGCTAACACAGAACGGTTCCATTTTGTGTTTGGTGACCTGGAAGTGCCTCTCTCTTTTCCAGAGGGGGGATCCTGGAGCCCGAGGGGACGGTGGAGATCCGATTCCGCAGGAAGGACCTGGTGAAGACCATGCGCAGGGTGGACCCGGTGTACATCGGCCTGGCCGAGCGCCTCGGTACGTGGGACAGCTTCCCAAAGGACACTGAGGGGTGGGACAGCTTCCCAAAGGACACTGAGGGGTGGGACAGCTTCCCAAAGGACACTGAGGGGTGGGACACCCTCCCTGGGGACACTGAGGGGTGTGACAGCTTCCCAAAGGACACTGAGGGGTGGGACACCTTCCTGGGGACACCCTCTTGGGGACACCCTTCTGGGGACACCCTTCTGGGGACACCCTTCTGGGGACACTGAGAGGTGGGACAGCTTCCCAAAGGACATTGAGGGTTGGAACACCCTCCCTGGGGACACTGAGGGGTGGGACACCCCCCTGGGGACACCCTCCTGGGACACTGAGGGGTGGGACACCTTCCCAAAGGACACTGAGGGTTGGGACAGCTTCCCAAAGGACACTGAGGGGCGGGACACCCTCCTGGGGACACCCTCCGGGGACACTGAGGGGTGGGAAACCCTCCTGGGGACACCTCCCTGGAACACTGAGGGGTGAGACACCTTCCCAAAGGACATTGAGGGTTGGAACACCCTCCCTGGGGACACTGAGGGGCAGGACATCCTCCTAGGGACACCCTCCTGGGGACACTGAGGGGTTGGACACCCTCCTGGGGACACTGAGGGTTGGGACACCCTGCTGGGGACACTGAGGGGTGTGACACCTTCCCAAAGGACACTGAGGGGTGGGACACCCTCCCTGGGGACACTGAGGGGTGGGACAGCTTCCCAAAGGACATTGAGGGTTGGAACACCCTCCCTGGGGACACTGAGGGGCAGGACACCCTCCTGGGGACACCTTCCTGGGGACACTGAGGGGTGTGACGCCTTCCCAAAGGACACTGAGGGGTGTGACACCCTCCTGGGGACACCCTCCTGGGGACACTGAGGCATTTCATCACAGCCATTTCCAGTGTTATTCACTGTTGTCCATCTTGGGAAGGAGCCCAGGTGACACCAGTGCCAGTGTGTACATGTGAGGTGACATCCAGCATAGCCAGGGTGTGGAGCATGGTGGGGTTTGGGGCTGGTTTCTTTCTTTTATGATATTTTATTGCCTGGATCTCACAGCAAACCCTTATTACAAAGGCCTGAGTCTGATTTCCAGCTCAGCAATCGCTCAGATCACAAAAACCTCGTGGGCCAAACCCTCAGTGGGCGTTGTTTCACATAACTSAGGGTTTGATCAGAGACATTTGGGGCTGCTGGGCTGTCACAGAGAGTCTGGGGTGGTTTGCAGCAATRATATCCATGTGCTCCTCAGTTTCAGGGGTATGAGGAATGTTATCCATGGCTCACTCGTGTCATTGCCACACTCTGAGTGATCCCAATWCTTGCTGTACCCTCAGCATCCCAAAATACAGAGTGTGCAGCAAAGTGCACTTAATATCAGATATGTTCTCTCTCGGGGGAATAGGCTCTTTAAATAGTTCTTTACTGGCTCTTACTGTAAGAGTATAATCTTACAGAGGCTCCTTTTACCTCCAAAATTGACTGCATTTCAGCAGAGGGAGAAGCTTGAGATGTGGGGATGGYTTGAATTTATAAAGCCTTTTGGGATCCTTCAGGAGAGAAAGTGTTCTGCAAATGACTGATAAATCCTGGCTATTGCTGCAGTTACATTTTATTATTCGGGTTTTTTTTTTTTTTTTTTAATTTATGGCAGGGCAACAATTTGTATACAAAGCAACCCTCCTGATAGGCCTGGGGAAGGGAATAACACCGGGTGAGGGGTGCTGGGATCAGAGCAGGTTCTGCTCATGCCTTTGACTGATCCAAGGTGTTTTCTCACTTTTTAAATGATCTTATGTTTACTGTTTGTTTTCTCTGCCTGTGGTGATCATTTTCTGGGTAAGGAGCAGGTTGGGTTTGGCAGAGCAGCTCAAGGCAGCAACTTTTTATCCAAGTTTTATCTGAATATCACCTTCACTGACTGCCCTGGTCACCTGTGTGTGTGCAGGACACCTGCAGGGCACCCTTGGACCCTAAAAAACCACAGGGGGAAGGATGGGATGGGGTTTTCAGCCAACAGCCCCAAAACCCAGCCCCATATGAGCAGGCAGGAGCCTGGCCGGGGTTTTTCCTCTTTTTTTCCTCTTCCTGCACAGGGTAATTACTCCCAGCAAACTCCATAGACTTTAATTAAAATGACTGCAACACAAGAGCGAGTCACTTACAGCTGTACATAGGGAGAGCTCTAAAAGCTTCAGTCACTGATAAGCATCTCCCTGAGATGGATCGTAATTGCTCCCAGCACCGGGCAATCATTGCTGTTGTTTCTCCACTAATTCCATCCCAGAGCAGGAAAGCCAAGATTGCAGGACATACTGAATTGCATAATTTTTTCTTTTTTTTTNTTTTTTTTTTTTTTTTTCTTTTGCTGGTTTTCTTTCTGGCCAATTTAAAATTTGTCAAAGTCGGTCTTCTTCTGGATCACTGCCCTTTGATATTTCGCGCACTCCATTTGCCACAAACAAGCCGCAGGGCCGCAGTTCATGCTGACTCCAGCAGAAGCAGAGAAAGCTCCATTTATCTTACACTGCCTGCTGAATTCTTACTCATTAGCTGGGGGTTCACTGCCTCTCTTTAACCCCTGAGTGGCTGTCATCCCTCCCTGAGAGCGGGCGAGGGAGATGCTCTCCCACTCGGGGCTGGGCTGGGGAGTGGGAGAGCAGGGAAGGCTGGCACAGATTGAATCATTTGACATAAATCTGTTCATTATCAATTCCCCGGCACGATTGCTGAAATGTTGATTAGTGGTTTATTAAGGTGTCACTCAGAGCTGGGCTGTTCCAGCAAAGGGCAGGGGGACAGGGGATGGCCCTGGTCCTGTCCCACGTGGGACAGGGACAGAGGGGTCACCCAGGGATGTGGGAACTTTGCAGACTGAGGGTTAAAAATGCAGAAATTCAGTTTGATTTATTTACTGCAATTAGACTAAAACACRGAGGAGCAGAGTGAAAACAGGAATTCTGTGCCTGGTGCCAGAGGAACAGAGAGATGGGGCAAAAAGGAGTGAAGGGGATGGCAGAATGGCTCCAGCCAGAGCAGCACTGGATGCTGCATTTCTGTGTTTCTTGTAGGAGCATCCAGTCCTCTCCTGATGCTCTCCTCCCTGGTCCTGTCAGGTGTTGTCTGTGTGCTGGAATGCATCTCTAATTTTATTTAATTTATT